TAGAAGTATACAAATTTTCACCAACAGTGGAATGAACTATAGTATATTCACAAATGGAACACTATACAACAATGAGAATTGAGTATAACTACATGAATAATATGGATTAATCCCACAAACTGTTGAGTAAAATAAATTATATATATATGAAGTAAGTACTGACTGATACCATTTACATCATGTTCAAAAACAAGCAGAACCAATCTATAGTCAAGATAGAGGTTACCCGTGGAGGGTGAACAGTGATTGGAAAGGGGCATGTGGAAGATTTCTGGGATGCTGGTAGTACTTTCATTTTGGATGCTGGTGACACACTGTATCCAACTGGTGGAAATCCAGTAAACTGTCACTTCTTGGTGTGTTTATTAAACACCAATAAAAAGTTTTAAAATATACAAAAATCATAACACAAAATTTTAAAGTGATAATTTTGTTTACTGCCCTAATTTGCCTAAAATATATTTAAGAATTTTAATATTAACCTAAAATATTTTTCTAATCTGAGATAAAGCTGATGTTCTTTTTTAAAATAGTGGTACCAACACCTTAGTCAAGAAGAGTACTGTTGGGACATATTATTTTTGAACATACCTGCAAAAAGGCAAATACTAAAGCTGTTTATTATGGTTTCCCTGTCATAGTACCTCACAAAGAATTAACTGAATTAATCAGCAGTTAAATGCCTTTTTTTTTTTTTTTTTTTTTTTTTTGAGACAAAGTCTAGCTCTTGTCTCCCAGGCTGGAGTGCAATGGCGCGATCTCAGCTCACTGCAACCTCCGCCTCCCAGGTTCAAGCGATTCTCTTGCCTCAGCCTCTTGAGTAGCTGGGATCACAGGTACCTGCCACCACGCCCGGCTAATTTTTGTATTTTTAGTAGAGACAGGGTTTCACCATGTTGGCCAGGCTTGTCTCCAACTCCTGACCTCAGGTGATCCGCCCGCCTTGGCCTCCCAAAGTGCTGGGATTACAGGAGTGAGCCACTGCGCCCAGGCAAAAAATACTTAGTGCGCTCACTCAAAAAATACTTAGTGCGCTCACTCAAAAAATACTTAGTGCGCTCTTATAACCTGACAGTCATAAAGCACAAAAATGCTAAAGTATGCATTATAAGAAAATTTCAGTATTGATCAATTAAAGGTATTCCTATTGAGGAATTTTTTATACTTGATAACAGACCACTTGCAGGTTAATCTCATTCTACTTCTCAATGAATTAATACCTATGAATAAACAGGATGTAGGAAGGACAGGTTTCTTGAGTCATAGACATCACCTCATCAAAGTATGACCAAGGTGATTTTCCTATGAGTTTGCCCAAAAGGTGCCATACCAAAAATTACTTCTCAACTAATATAGTCAAAAACAAATATACAAGGCTGGGCATGGTGGCTCATGCCTGCAATCTCAGCACTTTGAAAGGCCAAGGTGGGCAGACTGCTTGAGCTCAGAAGTTTGAGACCAGCCTGGGCAACATGGCGAAACCCCATCTCTACCAAAAATACAGAAAATTAGCTGGGTGTGGTGGTGTGGTGTGCATGCCTGTAGTCTGAGCTACTCGGGAGCTAAGGTGGGGGAATCACTTGAGCATGGGAGGTGGAGGCTGCAGGCAGCGGAGATGGTGCCACTGCACTCCAGCCTGGACAACAGAGGAGATCCCGCCTCAACAAAATAAAATACACACACACACACTCCAGTTAAAGATAAGGGGAATCCCACAGTAATTTCAGTCTACTTGCAAATATTCTTTTGAGCTAGGGAAGGAGAATTCTTTCGAGGTCAAGAAGAAGAATGGGATTTGGGAAACATTTTTAACTACCATGGTTTTTAACTACCAAAGGGCTATCCAAACTTATTTTTTGTTAAAATCCTGGAAATAATAAAAATTTTGAAAAAATTAGTAACCTATTTAGTTATTGTGATATACTGTTATATGTAAATGTTCAAGTAAGCAATTATATTATATAGTTACATTTTATAATATAAAATGGTGGCCTATTTGGTAGCCCAATTATATATGTTCAAAATGCAAAGTTAAACACCATTTCTAAAACAGAACAACGCAGAATGAATGAATGCTGAATTACCTGTGCTAGTAGTATATAAGAAGATATCCATAAATTATACTACAGGTACATATTTAAAGTAATTATGTGTAGTTCTAAAAATATGTATTAGATACTTTTTGGAGATAATTTACCTCAGTGGAGCATTCCTTAATGTTAAGAATCACTCATATGTTCTAAGCCTTGAACTCAGTGCCTGGGTGACCCTTTCTGTATCTAGCTAGCTAGGTTCCTGGCCTGGAGGTTCAGGCAACACCGAGGTGAGTATGACCATCCCTGTCCTCAAGGAGCTTCAGTCTAGTAGGGGATGAGACATACTAGACTGTGAGCTCCTCGAGGGCAGGAAAAGTGTTTTAGTCATCTTTGCCCCAGTGACTAGCACCAGGTTCAGCTACTGTAGGTGCTCAACAGTGTTTATCAAACTGAATTGAACACGGGTTGCAGCCATCTACGGCAGCATAGGGTAAGCCTGATAAGAACAAAGAGCTTTGGAGACTCAGAGGGTGGAGGCTAGTCAGCTGTGAAGTCACAGAAGACCCAGTGCATGAAAGAAGCCGAGAAAGATGGGTAGGATCTCCCCAAGTGAAGGAGGAGGCATTCTGGGCTGAGAGGAGGGTTAGTTTAGCTACCATGTGTGAAAGGGATGGGAAGACAATCTCAGGCCATAATGTAATGAGGCCTAAATGTTACCGTGGAAGCCTTTAACCAAACATGAAAGGTGACAAAACCCCACTGAAAGTTGTTTTGACCAGAGGAGTTATTTTTCCAGTGACAGTTCAGGAAGATTGACTAAGCTGGTCATGCCAGACAGATGGGAGAAGAGCGCGGGATGGAGGATGGGGGGTGTGCACAAGGAGTGAAGCATGACTCCAAGATGGTGACGAAGATAAAGGCACTATTCCAACCTGGAGGAAGTGAGGAGGAAGGGCTGGCTTAGAGGAGAATGTAACAGCTTTGCTTTCTGGATAAACATGATGCCCAGCCAGCAATTTAAAATGTAAGTTTGGGACTTGAGAAAAGGGCAGGACCAGAACTACAGACAGAGAGAGGTGAGAAGCAAAGCCGTGTGAATGGGTCAGACATCCAGGAAGAGTAATGAGAGAAAATGGGAGAAAGTAAGAGGCTGAGAACAGAGATTCAGTTAATACTCATAGTAATGGTGGAGAGATGGCAAGTCAGTGAGGTAGAAAGAGATGCCAGGAAGGTAGGGTGATAGAACTGGTATCAGAGAGGAACAATGTCAAGGATAGAAACTGTCAAATCCTGAGGAAGGATCAAGGAGGAACAAATAGGAGCAAAACATGCAATAAAGCATGTCCAAAAACCAGCTGTAAAAGTGAGAGAATAGGCAGTTAAGTTATATGAGAATTAATTAAGGAACTGAAGATTTTTGGCTAGAAGAAGCTAAGAGGAGGTAAGGAAGCTGTTTAGAATTACCCTGAAGGCCTATCGTGTGAAAGGCAGAGTAGGGTTGTTCTATGAGGCCTTGAAAAGTAGAACCAGGCCAGCGCGTGAGAGTTATGGGGACGGAGACCAAGAGTGTGGCTGGTCTTTCTGATGTGGTGCTCACTGTATTGTAATAACCGGTGATACCTCGGTCTCCTCCACCAGACTTTAAACTCTCTGGGGGCAGGGATTGGGTCTTGTTCACTGTTGAACCCAAAGAACCTAGCTTAGAATAACAAAGGTGCTTAGCAAACATTTTCAGACTGGATGAATCCTTTGTGCTTCTATCTATGGGTCTTAATTCTTCTTTGAAATATTCTCCTTAAAAGGAATCCTGTCTAGCAGGTTGAACAGCTTGAACATGTGGAGAGAAGGCTGGGCTAGATGGTGAAAGCCTGGACGCTGTAGTTGATGATTTTTAGGAAAAAGACTAAAATACAGCATGAAAAACAAACCCATAAACACTCACGTAAAATCGAGGAAGTCCCCAAGTATGAAAACAGGTAACACAGCACACATTGAACCACGGTATTGTTTATATAATAAAGCTTCTCATGCCTATGTGTTATATTACAATATCTTGTTTATTACAGTATTAAGTCTCATTCTAGACTCCAATTCAATTCAATTCAACAAATGTTTATTAAGCACTTATATGGTGCCAGATCCTATGCTTGGCACTGTGGCTACAGAAATCAGTAAGACACAATGATGCCCGTCAAGAGCTCTGAGTATAGCTGGGGACACAGACAAGCAAACAAGAACCTCTCCAGGCCAGGCAACAGGGTAGAGTATGCACATGCTTCTCTGAGGGATTCAGCACACTAATGTCCCTGCGTGCTTCCTCCAGGGGTTTAACAGTACCTGGCACAAAGTAGGAGCCACAAAATGGCACCTGAACAAGCAATGGATGTTTTAAATATAAAAACAGAAGTATTCAAAAGGTGCCAAAGGAATAACTATCTCTTTCGGGGCAAGGCTGATTAGGAAGGCCTCCTGAAGCAGGTAACATCTGAGCTGGGTTCTGAAAACTGAATAAAAGTTTACAGGTGGCAAAGGTCAGGAAAGGGATTTCTGGGAGTGAAGACAGCATGTGAAAAGGCAGTGAGCTGTGTTAGGAGAATTATAAGTAGGTATTGCTGGATCATAAAGTGTGAGGGAGATAGAGATAGAGGGTTGTGTTAGATGAGATGAGTGAGGTAACTAGGGACTATGTTATTATGGATCTTGCAAGCCATGCTAAGTCAGAAGCTAGGGGAGAGAGATTTGACCATAATTGGAGCTTTATTAAAATTTTAAAGATATAATTTACTTAAGACTCTAGCAAGGTAAAAAGAAATGCAAATCAATTTTAGAAGTAATTGCATTTGAATGAAAAATAGTTCGGCCTTAGACATACTGATATAATGACCTTAAAATGCTATTACTGCAAGGAGGAGAAGCAGCATAATCTGCCCCCACCCCCAGGCCCTCTCTCCCGCCAACTCCTACCTGAGCTGAGCTTTAAGTTCAGTAAACCTGGGCCGCCTGCTGGGGTCATAGGCCCAGCATTTCGTCATAAGGCTGTAGAGGGTAGGAGGACAATTTGGAGGCATTGGTAATCTTTCCCCATTTTCAATTCGACCGATTACATCATTGTTCTTCACTCCTTGAAAAGGCTTCACACCATGCATCAGTATCTCCCACATACACACACCTGTCAAGTGGGAATGAAAACACAACAGTGAGCTCAGTATGAAAAGTGTAACTCCCAGGTTCCAAGAAAATCGTTTTTCTAGGCACTAGAGTACCAGCTGGGAGGTAATGGGCAAGTTATCTACCAAAGCAGCATTATATTCACTCTAGTATAAAATAAGAATAACCTAATGATTTAATATGATGTAAATAATGAAATGTTAAATTATTATCAAGGAAAATGCTATAATTTTTCTCAGTTTATTTCTCTAGAAAAACACTAGTAGAAAATTGCCCACTAGCTACAGTGGTACTTCGTGGCTTAATGAACTAGTTCAGGAAACGCTGAATTTTAATCTGCCCCACTTCAGTCTCACCTGTTTATAATTAGAGCAGCTGACCTGAGGTCCAATAAAGAAAATACTAGTGTAAGTCTTATGCTTTTGGAAAACTAAGATTCCTTAAAAAGTTTCCCTTAACAAGGTTGGCCTCTTCTTATCTAGAGTGCATAAAGGCGTCATTATCTGGTTGATTCATGGACTGGTCACTGTTTTCCCCCAGGAAAGATGTGAACTTCTTTGGGCTTCAAGTCATCTTGTCTATAAATGCCACAGTGTGACCGCAAAAAGTTTACTTGCATTCTACCCTTGGGAAATCCAATACTTTCTCAGTATCTTCTGAACAATCCTTAAAAATTCACCTTTAGGATGGGATAAAGAAAATGTAGTACATACATGCCATGTAATACTATGCAGACATAAAAGAATGAAACCATGGCCTTTGCAGCACCACAGAAACAACTGAAAGTCATGTATCCGAAGTGAATTAATACAGAAACAGAAAGCCAAACACTGCATGTTCTCACTTATAAGAGGGAGCTAAACACTGGATACATATGGACATGAAGATGGAAACAACAGACACCGGGGAATAAAAGAGCAGGGGGGGGAACGAGGTGGGTAATGGTTGAAAAACTACCCATTGGGTACTATGTTCACTATTTGGGTGATAGGTTCCACTGAAGCCCAAACCTTAGGACTGTGCAACATATCCATGTAACAAACCTGCACATGGACCCTCTGAATCTAAAATTTAAAAAAAAAATTAAAAATTCACCTTTAAAACAAACAAGAAACCTAAAACTGGCAATGAACATACAATGCCAATGGAAAGCAAATGGAGAGAACTGGTGGTGTAAAGGGCGGATGTTTTCTCCTAGTGCCTTATCATCACTGCTCTGCACTTGGTTATTCTGGGCTTCTTGCTACCTGTGGAACACACCAAAAACATCCCTTTACCTTCCTCACAAGCTCTCTTCTTTATAGGTACATTTGTAATGTAGTTCTTTATAATGCTTTTCCTCTGGGAAAAGTTTCTGTCATTTCAAATCTACTTCTATCACAAAACAATGTACAACTGATGCCTTGAAGAAAGGAACTGTGAGTTTATTTTTGCATCTTTAGAACCTAGAGTGAAATCTGCCTCAAAGGAAGCAAGGCATATTACCATCTTGATGTGAATTAGATTCTGAACTTAGCCAAGAATCCAAGAATTTCAATGTAAAGAGTACCTAACAAACGTAATGCCTTAGTACTGCTTTTCTCACAAGAAGTTACAACAATATCATCAGTAGTAGCAACACTGGGTATCACTTCTGGAGAACTTAATGTGTTCCTGGCACACTTCTTAGACATTTTACAAATACATATATTTTTGAGACAAAGTCTCCATCACAGCTCACTGCAGCCTCCACTTTCCAGGTTCAAGTGATGCTCCCACCTCAGCCTCCTGAGTAGCTGAAACTATCGGCACACGCAACCCAAACCAGCTAATTTTTTAATTTTTTGTAGAGATGGGGTCTTGCTATGTTGCCTAGGCTGGTCTTGAACTCCTGGGTTAAAAGTGATCCTTCCTCCTTGGCCTCCCAAAGTACTAGAATTACAGGCATGAGCCACCACGCCCAGCCTCATATCTTACCTTTAATCCTCACAATAACCTTATGTTTCTTTAAATACTGCATTATATCACATTTGACAAAAATCACATCCACTGATTATAGGAAACATCATTAGTTTATATGACCAAAAAAGGGAGAATAATGTTGAAAACTAAAGTGTGATACAATTCTTTCTTCCCTCTTAGAATTTTTATTTTATTCTTACCAAAAGAGCTCTTTCAAAGTCATTCAGACACTACAGTAACAATATTAACAAAACAAAGTCCACATGAGTGAAAGCAAGTATAATTACATTAAAAAATGCCTCCAATTACTACCGACTGTAAAATGCCACTGATTTTAAGATACACTCCAGTTCTAGAAATGTTAACATGTAAAAAAACAGGCATCTTAGAAGTTTTGAAACATGAAATTTCTCTGAAAAGGTAAGTTACTTGCTCTGTGGATTACACAGCTAATAATCAAGGCCTTGGGATTTGAACCACATCAATTGGACTTCAGAGCTTTTTCTAATCATGTCATGCCATATCCTGTTCTATTTGAAAGTTCCTTCCTTCACCTAGTTATCTATTGGGACATTAAATGATGATTAAGAATCAACAGTAAGTAAACAGAAGAAAAAAACATAAGAACACATACTTGATCAGTTATTTTTATTTATAAGAGGAAAAAAGTACATAATCTTAACAGGTCATCTCCTCCAAAGTAGTTTTTAATTTAGCAGAGATAACATGTCCACAAGTCTATTCACAGAATCAACATGAGTGTTATGACAAAGAGAGAAAGTGTAGGAAATGTACAGAAAGGAAGAGGAAGGCTTCAAGGACATTTAAGGTGGACCTTGAGGGTTAGGTAGGATTTCAACTGGAAGAAGAAGGTATAAGGATAAGGCATTCTGGGTAGAAGGAATAACACCAAGAAAAATGAAGAGTGGGGTCGAGGGAAGAGCCATTCATGTTAAAAATAGTGAGTAATTTTAAAATTTGGATAAAGTATTTTAAATAAGTAGCAAAGAATAAATGAGAGCCACACTTTTATACCAGCTAGAAGGAATTTCAATAACCACAGAGCAGGAGAATGATGACCTTACAGCAGGTGAGGAAGAACAAATGAGATTATCAAAAAAGCAGAAGCTACAGAAAACAAAGGATCAAATTTCCAAGTCTTGAGATAGGTTAGGAAGGAGCTTGGACCCCAGAATAAAGAGACAAGGTAGAATTTTAGATACTCAGGGTTGGAGGGGCCAGGTGTTTACTGTTTAATGTCATTCATATGAAAAGAATGAATTAGACGGCTAAGGGAGAGAGAGAAAAGAAAGAAGGAAATGAGCAAAATATCCCCCTGGGAGGAAAGAAGAGACAGCAAAGGGGAACAGAAAGGAAGAGTGATGGAAGGAGCTGGGCAATCAGAACTGTGGACCCTTATGGAAGCTGTGCCCAGAAGCTGATGCACAGTAGATGCCAGGCTATTTATTGTCAAATTAATCAAAAGAAGTCTGATGAGGAGATGATCAGGTTAGGGAAGGCAAATCAACCTACATATTTCAAAGAGAGATTTTTTTTTGTATAACATATGAAATATAATTTTTAAATAATAGAAAACTTTTAAGAATACTCACCAAACATCCATACGTCACTAGCTGAGGTAAAACGTCGAAAATTGATTGACTCTGGAGCCATCCATTTAATAGGCAATTTTCCTTTGGAAGCTAGAAGATTAATTTTAGAAAATAAATTTTCCTTGTTATCTGCTTAAGAATCTAACAGAGCAAGCTGAGATTTTCAGTATCAAAGGAAAAAGCTTTAACTATTTGACCCCTTGAATCTTCCATTTCTTTGGGAGAACTACTTTTCATTTCCTTTATGTTTTGAGGTCACTTAGGGGTGAGGAATGGTTAGATGGTAGATAAATAAAATACTAATGTCCTTTTCTCTATAGAGAGGCAAAGAATAGGGAGGGAGAGCAAACCCCAGTTTACCAGGGGTTTAGGTGCAGGTATTAGGTGCAACTCCATTATGTAAGATTCCACAATTTACAGAAGAGATACTTATCTGTAGCTTAGAATGCTTGCTATACACATATCCTGCTAATAATAAATAATATATAGTCGATCCTCACTGGTGGTAGTTAATGTTATATAAAGTTGTTGCAAACACAGAACCACTGCTCTCAGGAGAAATATGTACACATATATTCGTATCTCACATAGATTACAATCTTAACTCATCAAACAACTCATTCTGGTAGGTTATATTTCCTTTAGAAAAGGACGCTCAGATGTGTTAAGTGACTTGCCCAAGACTGCCCCACTAACAGGTACCAGAGTTGGGATTCAAACCTCTCCAAGCACCAGAGCCTGAGCTGCTGGCTCTGCCCTGTGCCATTCCCTCCCAGCCCTGACCCTGTCTTCCCACCTCTGGCTGCGACAGAAGGGAGAGACTGCGGCCTTGCTGAACCTCAGCTGCATATTTCGGTATTAGGGAATACTCAATTTTTTTGTTGCTCTGTGCATGTCCTCAAATGACTATGAAAGCACCTTGAGTATTGATTTTGGGAATTACAAACATATGTTAGCCACTAGGTGAATGCACCAACGCAGACTCCACAAATAATCAGGCATGTGAGGAGCAGGAAGGGGCAATGGGTTGAGAATGACTTCTCTAGGGAAGCCTGAAATCAGCTCCCTTTTCAGACCTAAACGTTTTCTTTGTGCCACAAAGGCAAGTCACTCAAAACCTTAGTAAACATTTCCTCAACTGCTGAGTTCTCAAGATGAACAATCCCGAGTCCTTTTCTTCAAAGAATTCTCATTCTAAAAGGCAGACAGAAGTATACTCAAATTTGGTACGAGGTGTAACAGAGATAGTGAATGCATGCCAAGTGTCCTGAAAGTGGAGACGAAACAGTGACTGAGAGGATGACCAGGGAAGGCTGCAGGGAGAGGAGTAAGAGCAGAAGGGGTTGGTTAAGGGAGCAGGGCACAGGAATACCACTCTGATTCAGAAAAGCATGGAGCATGAGCAGCTGGGCTCTGCCAGCATGTCAAGGGTCTGGACTTTCCTCTGTAAGCAATGAGTTGCCTCTGAAGACTATTAGAATTCCTAGAAAGAGGAGTATTTTGAAGAATCTCTATTTGGAGTTTGCACTTATTTCTATAGCCTAATGGAATGTATACTTATTAACCTTTCTGAGAAAATATTTGTGTGAATTTGTCAACTGCCTGTTCAAAATGCTGTTCGAATGATACGAAAATCTGCACATCATACTACTTGGAATTTAGCTCTTTATTGGAATTCTAGGACTTGGGACAGTTAAGATCAAAGCTGGATATAAAATGTATTTAAAAATAGTGAAAAGCTGACTTTGTCTTTTTTAAGTTAAATGACTAAATAATTATAATGAATAAACAACTGATCTTCTTTTCATATATCAAAGGATCATTTAAAAACAGTGACAGGTAGCTGGGCACAATGGCTCATGCCTGTAATCCCAGCACTTTGGGAGGCCAAGGTGGGAAGATCACTTGAGCCCATGAGTTCAAGACTAACCTAGGCAACAAAGTGAGACCATATCTCTACAAAAAAATAAAAAAATTGGCTGGGCATGGTGGCATGTGCCTGTGGTCCTAACTACTCAGGAGAATGACTTGAGCCCAGGAGGTTGAGGCTGCAGTGACTTGTGCTCATGCCACTGCACTCCAGCCTGGGTGACTGAACAAGACCCTGTCATAAAAAAATTTTAATTTAAAAAATTAATTTAAAAAATTAGGCCGGGTGCAGTGGCTCACGTCTGTAATTCCAGCACTTTGGGAGGCCAAGGTGGGCGGATCACGAGGTCAGGAGATCAAGACCATCCTAGCTAACGCGGTGAACCCCCATCTCTACTAAAAATACAAAAAATTAGCCAGGTGTGGTGGTGGGCGTCTGTAGTCCCAGCTACTCGGGAGGCTGAGGCAGAAGAATGGCGTGAACCCAGGAGGTGGAGCTTGCAGTGAGCCCAGCCAGCGCCACTGCACTCCAGACTGGGCGACAGAGCGAGATTCTGTCTCAAAATAAAATAAAAATTTAAAATGAATTTTAAAAATCAAAGTGACAGGCAATAATATACAGACGATATATGGAAAGAAAATAGTTATGAGATTAAAATAAGAGACTAGCTTTGCATGTAAAAATCTGGGTTCATTTTGTTGCAATATAAAAATCAAATACCCTAAGAAATTGGCCTTTGTAAAATGGTAGTCATAATTAGCAGTATTAATAGCACAATATGGATTTATCTAAACCTTAAAGTTCTAGGAATATGAAAACATTATTCAGAAAAATATTATTTCAGTAATAATTTGAAGAACCAATTCAATGTGATTCCAAGATTGGCAAAATTAAAGACAACTGACATAAGCTAGATTTCAGTTAAAAAAACTAATGGAGGCTGGGCCTGATGGTTCATGCCTGTAATCCCAGCACTTTGTGAGGTGGAGGCAGGAGAATAGTTTCAGCCCAGGAGTTTGATCAAAGACCAGCCTAGGCAACATGGCAAAACCCCATCTCTACAAAAAATTAGCCAGGCATGGTGACGCATGCCTGTAGTACCAGCAATTTGGGAGGCTAAGGTGGGTGGGCTTCTTGAGCTCAGGAGGTCAAAGCTGTAGTGAGCAATGTTTGCGCCATTGCACTCCAGCCTGAGTAACAATGCGAGACCCTGTCTCAAAACAAGCAAACAAACAAAAATCCCACCAAACTAATGGATCCAAGGTGCTGAAGTTAGCAGCCTGCGTATCTTTAAGTCAGATCCCCTTCACTGAGGCAATCGATACAACCAGCTGCATCTGGTGTAAGATGATGGCGTGTCTACTGATTGAAAGACATTTGAGCTGATTTGAATTTCTGGCTATTACAGATACAACTGCAATGAACATTTGAGTATGGTTTTGTGTACAAATTTTCATTTCTTCAGAAGAAATGTCCAGACATGCAATTCCTGGGTCATATAATACTTGTATGCTTAATTTTTAAAGAATTTGCCAAACTCTCTTCCAGAATGCCTCTACCATTTTACATTCCCAGCAGCAATTTAGTTTCTCTGCATCTTCGCCAGCATATTCTTTAACAACTGACAGGTATGTACTGTAATCTCATTGTGTTCTGAATTTGCATTTTCCTAATGGACACAGATGTGGAACATCTACATCTTCACATGCTTATGTGCAATCCATATATCCTCTTCACTGAAATGTCCCTTCCTATTTTTTTGCCAATTTCTAAGTGCATTCTTTGTGTCATTTTTTTACTACGTTTTAAGAGTTCCTTTTATATTCTAGATAATAGTTTTGTCAGATATGTGGCTGGCACACATCTTCTCCTACTCTGCAGCTCCTCTTTTCATCCTTTTAACGGGGTCTTTGGCAGAACAAAAATTTATAATTTTTATGAGGTTCAGTTTATCAACTTTTTCCTTTTATGAATCCTTGTTTCTGGTGTCAAGTCTAAGGATCCCTGGCCTAGGCCTAGATGCCAAATATTTACTCTTATGTTTTTTTCTAAAAGTTTAATATTTTGTAATTGAGTCCATAATCCACTCTGAGTTAATCTGAAATGGGATTCAGAGGTTTAAATTGAGGTATATTTTTTGCCTAAGGATGTCCAACTGCTCCAGCACCATTACTGAGATGACTGTTGCTTCCTCCATTTAGTTAACTTTATATCTCTGTCAAAGATCAGGTGAACGTATTAGAACATACTGTTTTTAGAAATACATTAAAGATTCCAAGCCTATTTCTTAGGTACTGCCCTGATTTCTTACCTTTGTAGTAAGTACTATCTTCCATATATCGGGATAATCCAAAGTCTCCTAATTTTACACAATCATTTGAGGACACCAGAACATTCCGAGCAGCAATGTCCCTGATAAAGAATTTCAGACAGTAAGACTTAAAATAAGAAAAACAAACCTATAAGCTCGTAGATAAAGACATACCAATAGGCACTTTGAAAGACAGCTTATATACAATGCAAGCAGATTATATGATATTATAGGATATATACAATAAATCTCATATATACCCACACACAAAATTTATTTCATATATATTCTTTTTGCCAGATATTTACCCATTAATAAATGATTATTTTGAATGATGGCAAAGTATATTCTAAAATAATGAAAATCCTTATTACTGTTCATAAAACCATATTACCAATTGCATTAACTGATAGACAGTGATATATAACTGGGGCCTATAACACTGCCATTCCTGAAGGGGTATCATTAGATAAAAGTTGCCTTCTGAAAACTTTTAAATGATTTTGCTGATGGAGTTGATTTTTTCAGAGCCTTAGTTTTTTTTTTTTTTTTTTTTTGGATGAAGTTTGTTTTAATGCCGGATAACAAAACACCAATTCTAATATGATACTTGGCAAACAAATTTTAAGGGTCTTTACTTGCATTCAAACAGAGACTCAGGCTATAAACAGAAATTCCACAGAATGCTAACAGATGTCACTCATAAGGCTGTGTTGTCCCAGGAAGTTCCAGGACAATATTCGTTTCAGAGACCACTTCCACATGTTCACTGCTCTGCTGCCAAGTACAGGTTCTCTATAGCGTTTGTGTAAGGAATAAGTGACCTGAAAGTATCACAATGTTTAAACTCCACGTGTGTAAAAATCCTGTAACTGTGTATTAACAAGCCCTGGCATCTCACTCTGACAGGACATAATGCAGCATGACTTGCTATTAACTGTGTACAATAGATTCCAATGATATACAGAATACAATTTTGGAGAATTGGTACAAAATGGTACCAAAGGGATCCCTGGGTCCAAAGACGGTCCAAATAGGTCCCTGTTTCTTGATCACTACTTTTCAGAAGGGAACTTAACAGATTTATGACTGTATCTTACCTGTGTACAAATCTTTTGCTCTCTAGATATGCAAGAGCTGTACTAAGCTGATAGGCATACAGGATCAAAGATGCTAGATCCAAACTGTATTTCCTTACTTGCAAAAACGACCTCAGCTTTTGGAACAATGGCCAAAAGAAAAAAGAAAGAAAGAATTAGTGACAGTGAATTGAAATCAAAAGCAAAAAGGTACATTCAACAATAATGCCGTTTTCAATGCATTTTTAATAATATTAGAATGGCTTCAAGTCTCTTCTAACAAAGCATAATAAGTGAAACATTTAAACTCTGGATTCAGATTATTTTTTACTTGAAATCCTATCATGAAATTAAAATCTTTTTGACTACAGACAAATTTCTTAAAAAATATAGAAAGATATGCTTCAAGGGAATGAATAAAAGCACAGTACAAATTATTGCTAAATAATAATAACTGGAAGAAAAACGATCTAGTTACTATCCAAACAAGGCTAATACAGTCAGTTATCTCCACTTCAAACTTTACTGTAGCTCTGGGAAGATACGAGGATAATGTAATGAGGAGAAAGCAGAGACAAGAAGGAATCTTCTCTCTTATTTCCTTCCCCATGAGGTCCTGGATGCAGAAGAGTCATGTTGGGTATTTATCACACTGCACTTACTTGTTTGTACTACCACTGACACCATTAATAGAGGTAAATGCTAACATGGCAAAGAAAGGCATACACATTCAATACCTAATTCTAAATAATCGATGAGAGAAATATTTAGCCATATTTTTTGAGCCAGAAGAATTAGCAAACTCTCCAAAAGCAAAAGCAGAAAAATACTGTGAACAAGAAATTATAATCAGCACTCCATTTGATTTGGAAATGTAGGGTGGAGGAGGAAGAGATGTTCAGCTGATGAAATCACACGGTGCTTCCCCCGCCCCCCCTGCCCAGTGTTTGATTCAGCAGGCCTGGGGTGGGGCACAAGAACTTGTTTAATGAGTTTCCAAGTGTTGGTGATGCACTGATTTGTTTCTGTATTCTGGAGAAAGTGAGAGAGCTGTTCACTCGATTACTCACAGTTTTTTTTTAAATTACACTTTAAGTTCTAGGGTACACGTGCACAACATATGTATGTATATACATACTGTTACATATGTATACATGTGCCATGTTGGTGTGCTGCACCCATTAACTCGTCATTTACACTAGGTATATCTCCTAATGCTATCCCTCCCCCCAACCCCACCCAATGACAGGCCCCAGTGTGTGATGCTCCCCACCCTGTGTCCAAGTGTTCTCATTGTTCAATTCCCATCTATGAGTGAGAACATGTGGTGTTTGGTTTTCTGTTCTTGTGATAGTTTGCTGAGAATGATGGTTTCCAGCTGCATCCGTGTCTCTACAAAGGACATGAACTCGTCATTTTTTAGGGTTGCATAGTATTCCATGGCATATATGTGCCACATTTTCTTAATCCAGTCTGCCATTGATGGACATTTGGGTTGGTTCCAAGTCTTTGCTATTGTGAATAGTGCCACAATAAACATACGTGTGCATGTGTCTTTATAGCAGCATGATTTATAATCCTTTGGGTATATACCCAGTAATGGGATGGCTGGGTCAAATGCTATTTCTAGTTCTAGATCCTTGAGGAATCGCCACACTGTCTTCCACGATGGTCGAACTAGTTTACAGTTCCACCAACAGTGCAAAAGTGTTCCTATTTCTCCACATCCTCTCCAGCACCTGTTGTTTCCTGACTTTTTAATGATCGCCATTTTAACTGGTATGAGATGGTATCTCACTGTGGTTTTGATCTGCATTTCTCTGATGGTGAGTGATGATGAGCATTTTTTCATGTGTCTGTTGGCTGCATAAATGTCTTCTTTTGAGAAGTGTCTGTTCATATCCTTTGTCCACTTTTTGATGGGGTTTTTTTTCTTGTAAATTTGTTTGAGTTCTTTGTAGGTTCTGGATATTAGCCCTTTGTCAGATGAGTAGATTGCAAAAATGTTCTCCCATTCTGTAGGATGCCTGCACTCTGATGGTAGTTTCTTCTGCTGTGCAGAAGCTCTTTAGTTTAATTAGATCCCATTTGTCTATTTTGGCTTTTGTTGCTGTTGCTTTTGGTGTTTTAGACATGAAGTCCTTGCCCATGCCTATGTCCTGAATGGTATTGCCTAGGTTTTCTTCTAGGGTTTTTATGATTTTAGGTCTAACATTTAAATCTCTAATCCATCTTGAATTAATTTTCGTATAAGGTATAAGGAAGGGATCCAGTTTTAGCTTTCTACATATGGCTAGGTAGTTTTCCCAGCACCATTTATTAAATAGTGAATCCTTTGCCCATTTCTTGTTTTTGTCAGGTTTGTCAAAGATCAGATGGTTGTAGATGTGTGGTGTTATTTTTGAGGGCTCTGTTCTGTTCCATTGGTCTTTATCTCTGTTTTGGTACCAGTACCATGCTGTTTTGGTTACTGTAGCCTTGTAGTATAGTTTGAAGTCAGGTAGCATGATGCCTCCAGCTTTCTTTTGGCTTAGGATTGTCTTGCCAGTGCGGGCTCTTTTTTGCTTCCATATGAACTTTAAAGCAGTTTTTTCCAATTCTATGAAGAAAGTCATTGGTAGCTTAATGGGGATGGCACTGAATCTATAAATTACCTTGGGTAGTATGGCCATTTTCACGATACTGATTCTTCCTATCCATAAGCATGGAATGTTCTTCCATTTGTTTGTTTCCTCTTTTATTTCACTGAGCAGTGGTTTGTAGTTCTCCTTGAAGAGGTCCTTCACATCCCTTGTAAGTTGGATTCCTACGTATTTTATTCTATTTGAAGCAACTGTGAATGGGAGTTCACTCATGATTTGGTTCTCTGTTATTGGTGTATAAGAATGCTTGTAATTTTGGCACATTGATTTTGTATTCTGAGACTTTGCTGAAGTTGCTTATCAGCTTAAGGATTTTTGGGCTGAGACGATGGGGTTTTCTAAATATACAATCATATCATCATTTTTAAAAGAGTACGGCTGGGTGCGGTGGCTCACATCTGTAATCCCAGCACTTTCGGAGGCCAAGGCAGGAGGATCACTGGAGGTCAGGGGTTCGAGACCAGCCTGGCCAACATGGTGAAACCCTGTCTCCACTAAAAATACAAAAGTTAGCTGGGCATGGCGGCACATGCCTGTAGTCCCAGATACTCAGGAGGCTAAGGCAAGAGAAGTGCTTGAACCTGGGAGGCGGAGGTTTTAATGGGCCAAGATCATGCCATTGCACTCCAGCCCGGGTGACAGAGCCAGACTCTGTCTCAAAATAAAAGAAAAAAAAGAAAAAAGAAATGGTGATTTAAATGAGTTGGTTTAAAAGGTATTACCAGCCAGGTAATCCCAACACTTTGTGAGGCCAAGGCAGGAGAATCACTTGAGCCTAGGAGCTCAAGACCAGCCTAGGCAACATAGTGAAACCCCATCTCTATAAATAATTAAAAAATTAGCCGGGCATGGTGGCATGCACCTGTAGTCCCAGCAACTCAGGAAGTTGAGGGGGGAGGATTGCTTGAGCCCAGGAGGTCAAGGCTGCAGTGAGCTGTGATTATGCTACTACACTCCAGCCTGGGCAACAGAAGGAGAACTTGTCTCTCAAAGAAAAGATGCTACAAAGTGAATTCCCAAAAAGATTAAGGAAATGTTTAGATTTACCTAAATTTAGCATTAATTTACCCAAACTCCATTAAGATTGCTTCATCCTCAGATCAATGGGCTAGTTTTGTAGGCAATGGCACCAGAGAGGAAACAAAATAAAACAAAAACATTTGGCCATCTGCTGCTACCAGTCCTGATAAAGTACTTGGCTGGGAAAGATATTGCTGCCAGTACTGCATAAGGGGATGCTTTGGGAATTTAATGATGAAGATATTTATACCCACATTCTTGGAACCAAAACCTAATGACATACATCCTGTCAGGCTTCTGAGCCCAAGCTAAGCCATCATGTCCCCAGTGACCTGCACGTATACATCCAGATGGCCTGAAGCAACTGAAGATCCACAAAAGAAGTGAAAATAGCCTTAACTGATGACATTCCACCATTGTGATTTGTTTCTTCCCCACCCTAACTGATCAATGTACTTTGTAATCTCCTCCACCCTTAAAAACGTTCTTCAAAATCTCCCCCACCCTTAAGAAGGTTCTTTGTAATTCTCCCCACCCTTGAGAATATACTTTGTGAGATCCACCCCCGGTCCCCAAAACATTGCTCTTAACTCCACCACCTATCCCAAAACCTGTAAGAACTAATGATAATCCCACCACTCTTTGCTGACTCTCTTTTTGGACTCAGCCCGCCTGCACCCAGGTGAAATAAACAGCCTTGTTGCTCACACAAAGCCTGTTTGGTGGTCTCTTCACACGTACATGTGAGACATTTGGTGCCGAAACCCAGGACAGCGGGACTCCTTCGGGAGACCAGTCCCCTGTCCTCACCCTCACTCCGTGAAAAGATCCACCTACAACCTCGGGTCCTCTGACCAACCAGCCCAAGGAACACTTCACTGATTTTAAACTGGGGAAAGCGGCCTCTTTTTACTCTCTTCTCCAACCTCTCTCACTATCCCTCAACCTCTTTCTCCTTTCAATCTTGGTGCTACCCTTCAATATCTCCCTTCTCTGAATTTCAATTCCTTTCATTTTCTGGTAGAGAGAAAGAAGACACATTTTATCTGTGGGCCCAAAAGTCCGGTGCCGATCACGAACTCGAGAAGGCACCCTTCCCTTGGTGTTTAATCATTGCGGGGATGCCTCTCTGATTATTCACTCACGTTCCATTGGTGTCTGATCTCCGTGGGGACGTTTGCCTTGGTCATTCACCCACATTCCCTTGGTGGCAAGTCAATTGCGGGGACCCCTGCTTTGGCTGCTCACCCACGTTGCAGCCCAGGGCTGCTCCCCACCCCTTCTCTCCGTGTCTCTACCCTTCTCTTTAAACTTGCCTCCTTCACTATGGGCAACCTTCTACCTTCCAGTCCCCCTTCTTCTCCCTTAACCTGTGTTCTCAAGAACTTAAAACCTTTTCAACTCTTGCCTGACCTAAAATCTAGTGTCTTATTTTCTTCTGCAACACCGCTTGGCCCCAGTATGAACTCAACAAT